CTAGGCCAAGCGACCTCATGAAAAAAGCCCAAGCCCGGCCGGGCCCGATGGGTATGAAAAGTAAAGCCCAATCCTAACCCAAGGCTTTTTGTAACCTCAAGCTCGACCCAAGCCGCCCATTTTTATAATGTGAATTTTTAAATATTAAAATTTCAATTTTTTTCTGAAACAATTTTTTAATATAATTATTTTTTAATACTCACCAAATATATAAATAACTTTCCACAAAGTGCATCATCTATCGTAGGGTTTGGGAGAATGAGTATGTGAGATACTCTTGTTATATAATATATGGTAAAGGGTATTAGTATAATTAATACTAAAATTGTTGAGCGGGCTTGAAGACATACCCAGGCCAACCGTACCCGAGGTTGGGCCTTAAATCAGGCCAAGCCCATGAACATCGGGTAAAGCTCGACCTTTTCAGACGGGCGGTCAGGTACTAGGAAATATCGGCCCATTGCCATCTCTACAAAGATCTGGTCTTTTACAACCAGATCTATGGGGTTTCACGGCTAGATCTATGGTGTTTCACAGCACATCTTTGGTTGTGAAACGGCCGATCTGGTTGTTTCCTGTGATCCATGGTCGGAAACGTCCTTACGACACACGACCGGCAAGATCCCGCCAGCCTTCTACCGATATGTTGACTTTCGCTTGTGGCAAGCGGTGGTCTTAGGTGACTATGAGTATTTTGTAACTTTTAAACTTTTTTGTGGTTAGGTATTTAGCTAAATTCTCAAATATAGGAGGTCTGGGTAATTGTTATTTGGTTAGCATATGAGGGCAAATGTGTTCGAAATGATAAAAGATAAGGGCAAATAGGGTCAAATTAAGATTACCTGGATAATCTTATATTAACCATTGGGAAGGTAATCTGATTACCCCTAATATACTCTAGTAAATTCTATTGCATTAAAAGATTATGTTATATTATTATACTTGACAACCAAACGAGGGAATCTTGAAAATTAAACAAGATTACAGATTAATCTTATATCACCCGAACCAAACGCAACCTTAATAAACAAATAAATATTAATTGAGAGTAAACGACTTTTTCCCACCAAGGTTTGCCTTAATGACTTTTTCACCCAAATGGTTAAAATACCACTTTTTTTACCAAAGTTATATTCCATTAATAACCAAAGCTGTTCCGAACGATTTCAATGGCAAAAATTATAATGTCACTACATTTGAACCTCCAGTCTCTTTCTATGAAACTCCTCTCACTCAACACTTGATTCTCACCGATTTTCGACCACCGTAAAGTTAGAGTTCTCTGTTCTTAGCTTACTTTCGGCTGATTCTAGTAGCGAATATTCAATCGATACCACCATTCGATCCACCAACCTCCATTCTACAAATCCCTCTTATCTTGGCTCTTGGTAACTGCTGAATGCCAGTTGAGAAAGTGAAGTGTATTTTAAGTATTAATGAAATATAAACTTTTGGTGAGAAGTGCATTTTGAAATTATTTGGATGGAAAGTGTCAATAAGCAAACCCTGGGTGGGAAAAGTTGTTTACTCAAAATTAATTAGATAAACTAAGAAATGTAATTTAATCTTCTTATGTTAAAATACTTACAATATGTGTTACGAAACTATATACCTATATTTTATAGTTTTCGAAAATCTTAGAAAATTAACTTTTCGATTTTTGATGACAACAAAATAACCCATAAATTATAAATTTAAGACATTTTGTTGAGTAAAGGACTTTTTCCATCCAAAACGGCATAATGACACTTTTTCACCCAAAACGTTTTAAAATACAATTTTATTACCCACAGCAAATTTTTGTTAGTAATTTTATTGTGAAAAGGGATAGAGTGGTAAAAATTCGTTAAAAGGAAGGCAGAATAGTCAATTAATATTTTGTATACAAAAATCAAAATTTTTAAATTCAAGTGTAGGTAATTGTAGGGCTGATGGTTGCCGCGTGTTTTTACTTTTTTTCTCATACTCTTGTCTCATTCTCTTCTATTTCTTTCACTTTTTTTGCCCTTTCATCCTTCTTCTTTCTTCCTTATGTATTCTTTCTCATATCCAACCAAAGCCAAATGGCCAGTCTCCCCTCGCTTCTCCTCTCTTCACTACGCCTCCCACTACCTCCCCGCTGCTCTGCCAACCTCCAACTCGCTCCACTTCCTCACCACCTCTTCCCACATCTCCCGCATAGCAACACCTACCCATCCACTCACTTCTCACTGTCACACCACACAACACCCTCACTTGCTTTCAAAACCCACCCACACACCGTCACCCTTCTCACCGATTACCAACTGCAGTGCCGTGATTGTTTTCGTATTTTCGAGTGATTGTGTTCTGTATTTTCGGGTTTTCTTGTGTGGCTTGTTTTTTGTGTTGATGGAGTACTCTGGAGTTTGTATTGAAGTTTGGGTGTTGTTTGATTGTTTATTTGAGTATTCTTGTGTTTGGTCTGGCCGGATTAACCCTACCAGTCACTATTGTCACTCCCCAACCAGCTTGCACACCAACTATTCGTTTAAAAATCCCCACCTAGCTAACTTTCTCCTGCCGATTTGGTTGGACGGTGAGAAAATTGAGATTTTATTTAGAAGGCATATATTTTTATATCATTGTCCTTATAATATACCCACTCTTTAAATTAAATTACTAATTGCCCTCATGTAATATAAATAAGAATAAAATATTTATTCTTCCTTCTTTATTAAAAAGAACCCTAATTGTTTTTTCTCTTCTTTCGTTTTTCCATCTCTTCTCCTCTTCCCTTTCTTCTTACTTTCTTCTCCCTTTCATTTACATTTCTTCTTTTTCTATATCAGTTCTAATTTTTTTTAATTTATTATCATTTTCTTCTTGGTGTACTTACTCAGAATTACTACAGGGCATATTAGTAATTTAAATTAAGAGGGGGTATTTAGTCAAATGGTAAGTTATTTGTCTTCACAATAATATTATTGTAATTAACGGAAAATTATTAGCGTAGTAAAATTATATTTTAAAAAGTTTTGGGTGAAATGGTCATTAGACCATTATTTGGGTGGGAAGAAGTGGTTTACTCTGTTTCGTTTTACAAAATGTACAGATTGCAGCGATTCCACGCGTCATTAGAACCATACACAAAAGTAATCCCAAATGAGAACCCCTCAGAAACATGAGTAACCCTGCAAGTAATCTCCTGAAGAGAGCAATGAAGACTATGCACAGAGTAAAGAGAAGAGTCCCAACATACCAGAACACGGCAAGCAATAGACTCTGTCGCATTTGACAAAAACTGCCACGAAGGACAAACAGACAAGACCACCGACTATAAATGAGACTGCTCAACCTTAGTCTCCAACAAACCAATCAAACCCAAAGAAGAGTCAAAAATCCAATTCCGCACAACGCATTGTTTCGAGAAGCAACAACCCAACCACTTCGAGAAGCACCAACAATAAAAGTGTAAAATTTAACAAAATACACCTAACCACCCAAGATAACTGTCGACCGCTAGCCATCGTCATCGGCAGTCGCCAGAACTATGCACGATCGACCAAATCTGACTGATCGTGCATTGATTTGGCCATTTTCGATTAGATCAAATGCTGGAAACAACCAAATGTTTGTGGATCAACCGTCTATCCAGATCCATTCTAGTCATTAATGGCCAGATCTGTGGCCATTAACGGTTATGGATCTGATCGAAAATGGGCAAATCCACAGCCATTTGGCCATTTTCAACCCTTTGATCTAATCGAAAACGGCTAGATCAACGCACAATCAGCCAAATCCGACCAGTCGTGGTTCGTTCCGATGACCGATAGTCTTCTTAGGTGTCAGGTGTATTTTGGGTATTATTCATATAAATAGTGAGGGTGTTTATGTCCAAAAATTAATATATGAGGTTACAAAAGTCATTTCGCACATTTAGGCTAATTGTTATTTAGTAGACATATGAGGGCGTTTATGTCCAAAATGTTTATTAATAAATTACCTACCGTATCACTATTGGTATTGTTCGATTACCGAAATATTTTATTACTTAACACCCAAACATAGTAATTATTGGATTAAAAGATAGATTAACAGTGCTATCTATTATGACACTAAACCAAATGCTCACTTAGTGTGGTACTTAAAATGATATAAAAGGCTAAATAATATTCGGACCCCTAATTTATCATGAAATAACTTTTCCCCATTGTTTTAAAACCTGACCTGTTATCATGGGTCGACCGGTCCAATCAGTTGGACCGGTGACGTCAACCATAAAAATATTTTTAAAAAATATTATTAGTCCCTTAAATTTTAGTATATTACAAAAATACCCCTAAAAATTGTATATTAGTCTCTAAAAGTTTAATTTATTTCAAAATGCCATAAAAATACAATTAGTCCCTAAATCTTTGAAATATTCAAAAACACCCCTAAAAAAATTAATTAGTCCCAACAAATATGAAATATAGCAAAAAAAACCCTGGAGCCTAAACTGGACTGGAGAGGTTGCCAAGTCCCAGTCCGATCAGTTTGACCGGCCGGCCTGGTCCGGGTTTTGAAACGGAGCTTTTCCCCCCTTGATTTCCCAAAAATGACTTCCTTTTTCAGTTTCAGACTTTTCAGACATCAACTTTGGTAGAAAAGGGGCATTCTTGTCATTCTTCAACATATATAAACAAAGAAAGGGGCTAACACTAATACCCATCTCCTTCAACTTCAAGTTCGGTATCTCACAAATTCAAAATTAGATCACATTAAAAATTTCAAACGGAATCGTCCATCGCCAACCACCTCACAGGTGGCCAGCACTACTCTTGGCTGCGATAGGCCATTTTGCGGTCAAGACACTGCAAAAAATAGAAATTATTTATTCTTCTAATAATTGATAAATAGATGTTCAGAGACTAAGGTTGGGGTCATATTGTTTGCTTCCAAAACTAAGGGGGAAACATCTTTTTCCTGATATTCTAAAGTAGTATTTATCTCAACAGATTAACAATGGAATATTCTAATTGAACCTAATCCACCATTAATATAAAATACTGTACCTTCATCTATTGCAGAACTCCGAATTTTGTCATTTACAGCCTGATTTCTTCTGTCTATTCCAAAGCGCTAAGAAAACTATAAATCACTCTTACACTAAAAGAATGTACAGGAAGAAAATTATGGGTCACTCTAGCTTAAAATATGTACACAAGGAATCTATCTCAACCAAGCAGAAGCTAGAAACCCTTTTTTTTTTTTTTTTTGGTTATAATTTTCTTCTTTTTTTTTCGCCATTTTTTTTCAAGGAAATAAACCAAATCCCCTTGTAAAATATTTGGTGTGAGGCTATAATAATAATACAGAATGTACATCAATCAATCAAAAATCTATACATGATTACAGTACTTTGTTTCCTCTTCATAGGTTGTCCTCCAAAGGCTTCAAAAACAGCCATGTTGAGGCTGTGGATCAACTTCAGCAATCAGCAATCAATAATAGCATCAGAAGTGTCAATAGCTATGCCTCTCCATCTAAAAAATGAGCAGCTGCAGCCTCTGCTGATTCTGCAACTTCAGCAGCTTCTGCGATTCTAAGTGCAATTGCTGCTTTGTAAGTTGCCAAATCAGCAACGTCCATGAGCAGTTGCGCCCTCTGACGTTTACCGACTGCTGATTCAACATATCTTTTTGCCGAGGCTTTAGCTTCCTCAACTCTAAGCATAGCATTCTGTTCTTCCATGGCATCTTGCTGCTCTACGATTGCTGTACAATGAAAGAAACATCAGATTTATATCTTCAGTGAAAGGAAGTCACCTAAAATGAAGTAAAACAGTTGCAATGAATGAGATCCGTTGGCATTTTACTCGTAACCATTTTGGTTTCTTATATATTCCATCAAATACTCCATCAAAAGAACTAAAGAGGAATCCAAACACAGTGCTTCACATTGGATGTTTTAATTAAATTTGCATGCCAACCCTAAATGATGCATCATCGCAAGAGCTATCTAAATCAACATCAGTTTTCAAAAGTTGATAAACAATAAATTTCATCGAGTTCCAGAACCAGCCTACAGGGCAAATCTAGAAATGGATTAATATTGGCATAAAACAACCTAGGTAACGCACAAAAATTTACAGGGGTTAGACTGAACAAACCTTGCATGAGAACAGGTTGTTTGCCTCTTCCCAATTGGCTAGCCTGCCGTTTGAAGGATCTTCTCTTTCGTAGTGCAGGCTTTGGAATCAAAGCAGGTTTTTTCACTTGCTGACCCTGCTAGAAAGGATTATCCAGGTCGATCAGATAAACCAATTGCTAAGCAACAAAAACTACATGTAGCTGAATTTGAATATATATACTACCCAAGTTTTCCGAAAACTAAAAAGAAGGAAACAGGGGAAAAAGGATCATGTAGAATAAAAGTTCAAAATATTGATTTGTAGTGGGTTGTAACTCCAACTCTTCCAAATATCTAGAATCTCAAGCAAATATAAAGCATACACTTTGCAGGAAATCTTTACCTGGAAAACCCTAAGTAGTCCTGAGCGCTTCTGCTTCCGTTTCTTCACCCAGTAACTATACACAGCTTGCACTACTTCCCTCCTACCCAGATCCAAGCAAAGATTAACTGCTGCTTCCTCATTAGAGTAATCATCAGGACTACAAAAGTACGCCTTCTCAAAGACATCAACCATTAACTCAAAATTATCCTCTGAAACATGGTTCTGAAGTTCATTTTCTGTGAAAAACTCATTATTGAACTTCTTTAGCCATTCCACATCTTCAGAATCCATGTCATAGTTCGCAGTCCTCCTTGTCAAAGCTCTAGATACCTCATCATTATTAATAGAGATATATGACTCTGGTCGGCAAAAAGGAACAGTAATACACTCCTCGTAACCTGACACCACCCAAACCCCAGGAACCGGGATAACCTTGGCTACAGAAGCATGAACGTTGCGATCAGAACATTCCTTGTAAAGATCCTTGAAAATTAGCCAGTCTTGTCTGTTGGGAAACTCTAGTTTCCAATTGTCATCCCCAGTCCATATAATATCATGGGTGACACGGTTAGACGAACAGGGCCTCATCATTTTTTGCGCTCTGTGGGTATATCTTGTTACTCCATCTTTCTTTACTACAAGAAGCCACTCTCTTGATGAAGACACTTCTAACATGACACTGGCTCCTTCTACCCTGTAACATCTGTCTGATTCTATAACCAATATACTTGCAGAGCAACAAGATGGAACCAAGTCTTGCCGTGTTTGGTCCTTGTTGCAATTGACTTCCTTGAATCTTGATGCAGGGCTACTTCGAATTGAACTCCTAAGCTTATTTTTGGACACCACAGAAGAGAAGGGGATGCCATTTTTCCTACTACTAACTAAATCAGAAACTAAAGTTCCACTACCTTTATGTGCACCACCCAGAGAAGGATTCCTGGCTCTCCTCCTCCTCAACGAACTCCTCCTTTTCTGAATTGTGCGAGAATTCAGAGCATTTCTATGCTGCACATTTCGCCCAGTTAACTTAGAAGCTCTGACAGAAGGATGTAATGCCACTCTGTTCACTGTACTATCAACTACAGGCATCATGGTTTTGGTGTCACATACATGGTCTACATCTTCATCAGAAGACTCGTAAGTTTGGTAGCTTCTGATGCTGGACATTATTTCATCATTCGAGTCCAAAGACACTAAATTATTTACAAGCACAGGTGGCAGGCGCTTTAACCTAATAAGCATACTGCAATGAATGTACATAAAACAGGAGGGTACCGCGGAAAAATCCAGAGAAAACGAAGGCATGACTTGCATGACCCCAAAAAGCTTGAACATACCAGCAACACCTATGGGAGGATCCTGAAATAAAATTCAACAAAAAAAATTCAATGGCAAGGAACAACACATAATCATTCAATTATAATTCTCATATTAAAAAGCAACAGAACTCATAATCAAACAAAAAGATCTTAACTCTGTGAAATTGAATTGGTTTCCGCAATCAGTATAAACCAAAATCCTTAAAACACACATACCAATAACAACTCAATAAGAAAGAAATGCATTCAAAAACAGGGCTATAGCAACTCAACAACTAAAGAACACAAAATGTAGATAAATAACAGCACACATACCCACAAAAAGCGAATTCCATACGTAGAGAGTGCTTCGTTGATCGGCTGTGAAAGCAAAAATGAAGCAAGCTCAGGCATTTCAAGTCTTGCCTTTACCATGTACCTCAAAACCAAACTCACAAAACGAGCAAACCAACTACTCCTACCAATACAAGAACTCTCCAAACCGATACCAAACACACGAAACCCTCCAACTTCTTCGTCTTCCCTCACAAGTTCCGCCAATCTTTCACTACCAACGCCACTCTCCTCACACTTCCTCCTCCTCTGTCTACGCCGAAACCGAATCCCATACATTTTATCACCCGAAAGCTCACTGCTTCTACCACCAAGTCTCTTCCTTTTTCTCCTATACACTATACCAAACATCTTGTCCATAACTTTCGCTTCTTTTTCTTCTTCTTCTTTAACTTTCTTGCACACTTTCGTTTCCTTCTCATTCTTAATAATCTCTGTGACATCTGTCTCTTCATCTTCTCTTTCTTCTTCATGCTTCAGCTTAATTTTTTCCACATGCGTCCACCCATTCGGCTTGCATTTAAGCCCACCAGGCCCATTCCCACTGCTCTTCTTGACCAGCGGTTGTTGATACCAGTCACCGAACTCGGGCCATAACCTACGACCCGAACGCAGAACGCGGGCCCCATCGGCTCCCTTTACCACTCCGAACACCCGAGTAGTCCGTCGCATACCCACCGACGGCATTGCCGTACGGTTCTGAAAACAACCGACTCTTCCTGACTCGATCTTCCTCGACTCACTGAGTTAGAAAGCTTCACTCGCTTCGAGCCGACTCAGTCCAAAATCTGCCCCAGCCTCGAATATCTCTTTCCGGGTCGGTTTTTCCAGTACATCTAAATAAAAACCGTCAGAAAACTCGACATTCACACCGATCTAGAAGTTATAACTCAGTTGTTTCCCGAGTCAGAATCCAAGTCAAACCACGAAAACTAAATAATAAATAAAAGTAATCGAGCACATAACATCGTAAAACAACAACCTAACGACAGCATAACAAAAGACTTTCGGACATCTAAAATCCAACAAATATAGAAAACAAAAAGAAGAAGGAGAAGAAGAAGAGACGGAAAAGAACTGAAAGAAGTTAAGATCTGTGGATAAAAGGGGCGAAGAGAGGTCGATTGGGCTGTGGGTTTCACGTAAGTCTTGTTGTGAGAGGGAGAGGGAAGTGGGTTTGTGGGAAGGGTGGCGGGCTAGGGTTTATGATGAAAACCACTACGCCGACTTAGGAGAGCCGTTGGATTGAAAGATGAAGGGCTGAGATCTGTTTGAGATGGTTTGATGGCTCCAAGGACCTTTTTTAATTTACTGGAGATTTTATTTTAGTTATGTTTTAGCTCTTAAGGAGAGAGGATATTTTTGGATTCGCAACAGAAGTGAAAAGACGATAACGGGAGGAGGATCGATCGTTTTGGAAGGGTTGTTTCGGGATTTCAGTAGAGCTGAGGGTAAAAGCGGCGATTAATTCTCCGGTGAATTTGGAAGGAAAATGGGAGAACAAGGTTGTAAATCTTGAAGCAGCAAAAGTAAAAAATTTAAAATGAAATATTTTCTGAGTAATTAATATTATTAAAATTCGTTTATTGCTTATTAATATTAACACGTGTCACATTTAAAATCATAAATAAAGGATTAACGTTAATTTATGTGATTTACCTCTTGGGCTTATAAGGTAGTAGGTTAATCTTTAAGAAAAAATTGGGCATAGAATTTGATTACGTCATCACTTTAAACCCAAAGACATTGTAAAGTAGGCGTGGGCAGTTTGGGTACCCCTCCAAAGTCAAAGGAATCGAAATTAAAACCAAAACCGACTGGTTCCTTTGATTCGGAATAAGAATCGGAACCATCGGTTTCGGTTTCTAAAACTTTGAACCGGAACCTATGTTACAGGTTCTGATTTCGGGTAACTTGAAAAATATCAATTATCCCCTATTTTTTAAAAAAATGACAAATAAACTCTTATAAAATTATAATTACACTCTTAACAATTAAGTGCAAAACATTAAATAATATATTTATTTATATTTACTTGATGTTTGATTATAAGTATTTAATTGTTTGTTTTCACCGATAACAAACATTTAAAAGCTATTATTTAACGTATATATCTTAATGTATATTAATTTCTTAATCAAATTATAAGTAAAACTTAAATATTAATAAGAATATTTTGAAAAATTGATCTTTTAATGAAAATTAATAAGACTTTTGATACTAAGATTAAAAAAAAAAACCAAAATTTTCTCATATATTTATATGATACGTAAACTATTCAAAAAACCCCTCATATGCAAAATATCCAAAAAAAAGCCCCCATATGCAAAATATCTAAAAAAACCCTATTCTTTAATATTATATCAATTTAGTCCTGGTTTTTTGAAACCACACAGTATCGATTCCAATTTTTTGAAACCGAAACATATCCTGTTGCGGCCAATTCCGAGTAGGAACCGAAACCGACACCCGAGTAGCCGTCGATTCCGGTTCTACCCTAAAATTTTGCCCACCCTGTTGTAAAGTAGTCATCAATTAATGACAATTTAAGGGGATATTTAATATACAATTTAAATACAAATTCTTAGTAAAAGAAATAAAAAAAAAAATTGTAATTAGTTTTGAGATATAATGTCAAATAATAATATCGTAATTTATAAAATTATAATTAGTTTTATTCCAAAAAAATCAGTGTAAAATTAATTTTCTAAAAACAGTTCTTAAATAATACTACTACGAATTTAAAATTTTAAGATATTAAAATATAACTATAAAATTGATTTCATATTTTAATTTTAAAAAATTTATTTCTTATTCTAAACAAGCACACCTCAAAATTTTAACTTGAATAACAACCATTAGGTGTTTAGCGGTCAACTAAAACTCTTGGATATATTATTCAAAATGTCTTGAGTTTGATCTTCTAGGTTGTCACTGAGGAGATATACCTGACTATTAATTTCAAGATATCGTGTGATTAATTAAAGTATGCACATATTGACCTAAACACTCTGATAAAAAATAAAAAAAATCACTTGAATTTATTTGCTTTAATATAATTCTTTTCATGGGTGGGAACTGGGAAGTTCCCTATATTCACGCCACATATTGATTGCAAGATTTTGACGAACACACAATCATACAAAGGTATCAATTAGGGTGCGTTTGATTTAGGAAATGTTATATTACTTGGGAATGCTGTATTACTAAAAAAATAGATTACCAAGGAATCTTTAGAGAAATGTGTTTGGTTGGTTGGAATAAATTGGTGGGTATTTGTAAATCTAGCGTTATTATTCTGATGCCCTAAGGTATGAAATTTACTTTTTCATATAATTTTCTTTTTTTGAAGGGAAGTGTAAAATGGTCAATTTGCATGCATTTTGAGATGTGGCCATTATAAAGTGTAAGGGGTGATGTCATTGAAGAGAAATGAGGGTAGAATGATCATAAAGTTGATTGATATGGTTAAATAGCGTACACGGTAACCAAGGGTATAATGGTATTTTCATACAAATCTATATGAATTAAGTATCCATAAAAGTGTACCAAGGGTAAATTAGTCATTTACCTAATGGGATTATTTAATTACCAAGTGTTTAAAATAAGTCAAATGGCATTAAATGAGTGCTAATCATTATGTTGTGGTAGAAATGACCAAACTGCCCGTATATGAAAATTTTATGCCAAAAGACCCTTATATCTAACTTTTATTGACCAATCATAATAAAGTAGTAATGAAATAAATATCTACAGGGTTTTAAGAGAGAGGAGTCGGCCTTGTACACCTCAAATGCATCATCTTCTTCTTCATCTCTCAAATCCAACATAAAAGCCACTAATCCAAGCATTTTATTCTCAAATTTTCATAGGATTTCAAGTTGAATTTCAAAGGAGATCGTCATTCACACTTTAAGAACTTCAATTTCAGGGTTTAAGGTGAGTTTCAAAACCCTAGTTGTTCTGATTTTTAGTTAAAAGAGAAATTCATAAGTGGTTATGTGTGTAAGGTAGAAAGGGTAAACCTTTGAAGCTAAGGAGGAGTGTCTTTGTACTTTGAATACTAAGGTAAGAAAAAAATTTCCCTTATGACTACAATTGATAACCCCTAAGGTTGATGAAACTTACATTTATTTATGTTAATTTGAGTGTGATACTATGTTTTGGTTATGGATTGTGTAAATGGGTATGTTGATTGATGTATGTGTACATCTAGAGGATGATTATGCCAATTAAGTGATTTGTAGTTGGACGATGTTTTGGCACTTTTTGGTTATGTAAAAATGGAGGTTTTTATGGCCTTTTATACTTAGAATGATATGGCAAATACTATGGATGTGCAAATGAAGGTGACATGGTTAAAAATGAAGAGAATTCGGATTTGGCTTTTTAAGACTTATATTGTACATGCTTCATTGAATCAGTCATAACTGAAGTTATAAAAGTCTGATTGAGGTTATTCTTGAAGTAGTAAAAATTTGAGAAATAGACCTAAAACTTTTATGTTTTAGCCAAAAATTAATTCGAACTGAAAGATGAGGAAAAAATTGATTGAATAGTGATGAACTGTATGGCATCCACCTCCTTAAATAAAATTCCCATTTTTTTTTTATAAATTCTAATAATCCACTGAATAATCTTACTGTTTAAATTCCTTACGTTGTATGAGAAATTGAATGACTTAAATTAATGAATTTAGTAGGAGAATATTCATGTCATGGAGTTTTGCTAAATTGATTGATGAGTTGTGCAATTGGTCAAGGTCACATGTTAAATGAATGAATAGTATGATTGAGCATGAGAAATGTTATCCCATATGTTTGCATTCATAATGGTAATGCATATAGCTTATTTAGTTGATTTATGAAAATATTTATGAAATGTTAAAGAATGAATTCCACAAGTCTCTTGAGGTATAAACCAAGATCAGAGGAATTGAATCTTTGTGGAAACCATGAGTCATTTGAGGTGACGACCAAGAACAAGGTAATTGTTCAAATGAATCCTATCGGATAATAAAGACTAATGTAAACTTCTTTCCTAGGCGTGCGTTTCTAGGTTCTCAATGGCCAAGGGATACTTAGGAAATACCCGGCTAGGGAGAGGTTTTACAATATGTTATAATAATATGTTTAGTTGAGATGATAAATGAGTGGATATGTTATGTAGATTACTAAATTGCCCTCCTTTTTAAATAATAATATAATATTATTTTTTAAATTATTTCTTTTAACCCCCTATATTTGAAATTTTGCTAAAACACCTCAACCATATAAAAACTTTAATTTATAGTAAAATCACCCCCACCCACCCCAAGCCACTGCCGGCAGCCGCCGTAATAGGGCACGACCGACCAAATCTAGCTAGTCGTGCGCCGGTAAGGCCTAATCAAAGATCCATGGCCAAAAACGGCTTAGATCTGGCTGTGAATATGGCTGTTTCACGGCCAAAGATGTGGCCGTGAAACAGCGGCCATTTCACAGCCAAAGATCTAGTGATGGCAATGGGCCAGGCCAAGACCGTGTACCCCTTGTCCTAGGCCCAAGCCCGACCTCATGAAAAAAGCCCAAGCCCGGCCCGGGCCCGTCATGGGTATGACAAGTAAAGCCCAATCCTAACCCAACAGGCTTTTTGTAACCTCAAGCTCGACCCAAGCCCGCCCATTTTTATAATGTGAATTTTTAAATATTAATAAATTTCAATTTTTTTCTAGAAACAATTTTTTAATATTAATTTATTTTTTAATACTCACCAAATATATAAATAACTTTCCACAAAGTGCATCCATCTATCCATGTAGGGTTTGGGAAGAATGAGTATTGTAGGATACTCTTGTTATTAAATATATGGTATAAGGGTAATTTAGTATAATTAATACTAAAATTGTTGAGCCGGGCTTGAAGACATACCCAGGCCCAACCCGTACCCGAGGTTGGGCCTTAAAATCAGG